TGCACCGGGCCACCGGCGGCTCAACGCCCCGGTGGTTCCAGTATCTTGAACGGATTCAACTCCGATTTTCCTGTTTCCTGTTCCCTTTGTCTGACATCATAGCTTCCCTTTGTAGACTTTAGTTTCCCGTCGCTTGCGACGGATCTTTCGGTCCGATCTTTCCGCCTCTTCCGTAGATATGTTCCCTTTGTGTTCCATACGATATCTCTTGTCTCCGAATGTTCCCTTTGTGCGCCGAACGGCGCCTCCGATCTCCGACATCTCCGACTTTACCATTGTTCTCTTTTGTACATATAAACCGTCGAACTGTACCGTAGATAGTCAGTTCGAATATCGACTAAGCTTCACTCTATTCCTCCTGCGGACTCAGAGCGCGTAGCAGCCTAGCGCACGAGCTTAGGCTTGGTCCGCATCCGACCTCGACTTCACCAACGTTTCCGACTTATCGACTTCACGCCGACGCGTCTCCGACGCGTCTCCGATTCCGCTCCGACTTCACTCTTGAGTTCCTCCCTTCTATTTCATTCTATTCTACGTAGATACGTTTCGGACTTCGGTCCTCCGACTCCGTTACCCCTTGCCTGTATCCGATCTTGACACCTGCGCATGAACCGATCCCGGCAGCGGCGGTTCTTACCGGAATATATGCGCGAATGGTTGCCCGCACAGCTGGCGTATATGCACCGGATAGCGCCTGCGCATGAGCCGATTTCTTACCGGAGTATATGCGCGAAGGGTCGCCCGCGCAGCTGGCGTATATGCACCGGATAGTGCCTGCGCATGAGCCGATTTCTTACCGTAATATATGCGCGAAGGGTTGCCCGTGCAGCTGGCGTATATGCACCGGATAGTGCCTGTGCATGAACCGATCCCGGCAGCGGCAGTTCTTACCGGAATATATGCACGAAGGGTCGCCCGCGCAGCTGGCGTATATGCACCGGATAGTGCCTGCGCATGAGCCGATTTCTTACCGGAGTATATGCGCGAAGGGTCGCCCGCGCAGCTGGCGTATATGCACCGGATAGTGCCTGCGCATGAACCGATCCCGGCAGCGGCAGTTCTTACCGGAATATATGCACGAAGGGTCGCCCGCACAGCTGTCGTATATGCACCGGATAGTGCCTGCGCATGAGCCTATCCCGGTAGCGGCGTGGTTCTTACCAGGATATGTATGAGAGGCTACAGTGGTATGTGTGGGCGTGGCAAGGAGAGCCGATGGGGGATGGACAACGGCGGTGTAGACAGAGCTGTAATATATGCACGAGGTGGCAGGTGCGGTGCATCTGCATGAGCCATTGGCCCCGTTTATCATGCAGTACGCGCTGAAGTATCTTGAGAAGGGGAGGTGGCGGTATGTGAGAGCGTTCCGCAAAGAACGCGGATTGGGCAGGTCCAGAGAGAGCGTAGCTGGGATATATGTACGAGGATATACGCACGTGACGGAAGCGCAATGCGTCAACGCCTTGGTATTGCTGGAATATGTAAACCAGGCCCAGCTCACTACTGTTGTACTACGCGAATGTGTACATCCTGGCTGCTGCTGTAGTATATGGCACAGGTTACTGACTGCGCATGCTTTCCCGTCCACACCAGTAGTGCACATATTGCTGGGGTTTATGGCTGAGGTTGATTGCTGGCTCTTATGCACGACCATTCTGCGCCATTTGCTGGTGTACATCTATGGATATAGTCACTAGGGCTGTTTTGGAATTGTCAATATCCCGTCCCTGACATGTACGCGTTCGATGGATGGGATCATCGTGATCTCGCCTTGCGGCGCTTCGGACGTGACTCAGAGAGCAGCATCGCAACTCAAATCCACTCGCTGCTGTGGCTTGCCTCGCATGAGGAACCCAGAGACGGTGTGATCAAGAATTGCATTTCCGATGCACCAGGACCGTGCGTGCGCACCCGTTCTGCCCTCCAACGACGTGATAAATCTTTGCCTGCAACGCCGGAGCAACGCCTGCGTGCATACTGGAAGGCCATCTCCGAGCTGTTAGGGATGGCATGTGTCGGATCTAAAATCCCGGCGCTCGATGTACTCGACAAGGAGTGCAAATACAACGATGCCCAGGGAACCGTCATAATCAACCACGACAAACTTCATCATGCCTTCGATTCGCTGACATCCTTCAACAACACCCAGATTTCGCTCATATTCGAACTACTCAAGTCCGGGCTCGATAAGCTCCTCCGTAATTCGATGAGCGACATTGATGTTTGGTTCGGCCTCTATGTCAACTCACTGGCAATGATGACCTTCATTGCAAATATGAACCGTAGTTTCGGTGCCCCACGCATCGTCTTCCTTCTGAAAACCCTCGCAAACTCCAACCAGTCCTCACTGACAAGCCGCGCGAATGAGAAGATTTTTGCCTTCATTCGCGCACTTGGGAGTCACATGCTGCACATCTGGCTGAGTGCATGCATACCTTTCCTGTGGCGATAGCAAGGCTGACTGGATGTTTGCAGAGCGGGAAGAAATGGCTGACATGCTTGAGCTTGCATGTTTATGCTATGACAGTGACGCGTTTCGGACGGATCCATTGCATCGTCTCCGATTCTGGGCGGCGGTGTCGGTGATCACCAACGCACGTGCACGCCGAAGCGACTCCCAACGCTGGAGCACGGCTATGAGTGTGTTTGGTGACCGTTTGGTAGAGGCGCTCTCGCTATGGACAGAGCCTGGCAACGGACAGCCTATTGCTGCAGGAGACTTGAGGGTGGACTGGAAGCATATAGTCTGGTTCCTGGGACACCATTCCGGCGCCGCCCCCGATTGTTCGATAAAGGTCGCAAAGTTTATTTTGGAAGCTCGTCTGCGCGGGTCCTTCTCGGACGAAATGGTAATGGAGGCATTCATCAACGAGAGTCATTGGTGGGGTACACGCTGGGACAATGCAAATGATGTTTACGAATACTTTGGGTTTAACCCAACATCGGGCAGCGGAGGGGCCGTCGGTCCTTCGTCGGATGCGCGCCCAGGCGCCCTGTCAGTGCTACCACATCCACATTCCGTTCGCGACACGGAGTCAACGTCACATCTCGGTCCAGAACCCAACAAAGAAACCGTCTCCGATGACGATGGTCACGATGGCACGCGATCTGATCATAGGGCTGCCGCGTCTAACGCACTCTCGACTTCCGAGACCCTGCAGGCGCAGCGGACCGACTCTCACTCGAACGGGGAGCCCGGAGGTGGACAGAAGAGCATCGTCGATGACGACTCGCTTCCTCGTGGCGGACAGATTCACCTCGAAAGCCCGAATATCAGTGCCCGGGGTAGCACTTCGTCGACTGTTGCAGGAGAAACTAGTGCGGGGATGGAGCACGGCGTCGGGCCGCCATCGCCTAATACCTCGGACGCGCCGAACACGTCGAATCGAACTTCACACTACGACGGAGTCCCATCGCCGAACCAAAACCAACCGGTGTCTCGCCTCGAAAGCCAGGACAGTGGTGGAGGGCGGGCGGGCGTCACGGACGGCGTTCCCATACAGGCAGGCGTCGAGCGCGATCGCGCTGACAGCACTGGGGTAGGGGACGTAGACGACACCGAGTCGTCGCCGGGGGCGGAGGATGGGTCGTCAGGCTTCTCGGGACGGGACACCGGTGGACGTGTGATGGGGGAATCCGAGGTATGAAGCCCGTTTCTTGCTTTGAAGCGCGGAACACGATAGTAGCTCAGGAGCGCCCATATTGATCGCCCTGGAACATGATAACCTACAGACTGTTGGGCAAGTCTGAGCAAGTGATGTTATTAGTGATACCGGGAGCATGTATTGTTCGTGTTTTCATGACCGTCCGAGGATGTATGGACCATACATGCTTGTCTCCACGGTAGTTGGAGCTGACTTTGACGCGAAAAAGCGTATCGAATTCGATCAGTCTTTACATCGTATCATACACGATCTGTATCTATCCCGACGAGACCGTCAGCGCACCGAAGAGGAGCATGTGTCACAACCGCCCGTACCCCGTACGCCCTCACGTCCAGAACCCATCCTCCAGCACGCACTCCCTCGCCATCTCGTACTGCTCGTCCGTCCTACACACCAACACCCTCTTCCCTTCCCCTTCCCCTCCTTCCGCTGCCGTGATATCCACCACCGCACCCTCCACATCCCCCACATCCGCGTTCTTCTTCGGATCCACGGGTTTGAATCCCAAACACCGCACGCGCTCCGCGACGCGTTCCCGGAGCTCGACCGACTTTTCGCCGATGCCGCCGGAGAAGACGAGGGCGTCAACGTTGCCCTGGAGCGCGACGAAGTAGGCGCCGACGTACCCCAAGATACGATCCACGAACAGATCGAACGCCAACCTACAAAGAAACAAAGAAATAACAACACCCTTCTTTCAGCTTCACGTCCGTCGCGTGTATTTATTTATTTTCCTAACTCACCTCTTCGCGTCCGTATCCCTTTTCGCGATCTCCCTAAAATCGGCGGAACCGGCCATCGCCTTCCACCCGCTCTTCTTGTTCAAGATCTCCTCCGCCTCCGTGACGCCCACGTTCGTCGCGTGCGCGGGGTCGTGCGAGATGCGGCCGGCGGTGTTGGTGTAGTGGAAGATGAGGCTGGGGTCGATCGCGCCGGCGCGGGTGGCGCCGGGCAGGCCGTGTACCGGGGTGAGGCCCATGGAGGTGTCGATGGAGCGGCCGGCGTGGATGGCGCAGGCGGAGGCGCCGGAGCCGAGGTGGAGGGCGATGATGGAGACTGAGGTGGGCGGTTTGCGGAGGTGGGAGGAGACGGTGCGGAGGATGTAGGCGTCTGCGTGTTATGTGGGACGTGAGAGCGACGTAGAAGAGGAGGACAGGGGAGGAGGAAGAAGCTTACAGGAAATACCGTGGAAGCCGTATTTCTTGAGGCCGCGCGGGCGGGCGACGGAGGGGTCGATGGCGTAGGAGGAGACGTGGGCGGGGAGGGCGCGGTGGAAGGTGGTGTCGAAGTAGGCGATGGAGCGCGCGTTCGGGAGGGATTTGAGGCAGGCTTGGATGACAGCTAGCGCGGTGCCGTTGTGTCTGTCCCAGTTCCGGCGTCAGCATGATAGGCATGAAAGAGAGAAAGGGGATATAGAGGAAACGTACAGAGGGGCGAGGTCGGTGAGCTTCTCGATGTGGTGGTAGGTCTCGGAGGAGATGGTGACGGGCTCTGCGTAGTCGCCGCCGTGGACGACGCGGTGGCAGACCTGCTGGATGTCCGCCTTCTTGATGCCGGATTCGTGCTCCAGATGGTCTAGGAAGTAAGAAAACGCGGACGCGTGGTCTTTGATGTCATCCTTTTGTTCTTTCTTAACGTCTTGGGACGAGTCGGACGGAGAGGCGTCTTCGTGCTTGAGGGTGAAGCGCGCGGGCGGAGAGGAGAGGTCGTCGATGGAAGATTCGAGGAGGAGGTCCGCGACGGGGTCCTTGTCCGACGAAGAGGATCCAGAGGGCTTGAAGAGGGAGATCTTGAGGGAAGACGAGCCGGCGTTGACGGAGAGGATCAGGCCTTGTCGTTGGGCAGGCATGGCCGTGGTCGTTGTCTGTACCAAAAGGAATGATCACGGAAAGGATGGTGGTGAAGTCAGTGCGGTCAACATGGTTGGATATCCTCCGTGCGCGGCGTGTTGCGGTCTGTCTCCAAGCGCAGTGCGAGGGAGGAGCGCGTCGACGTCAGCCCTGTGTCATCGCCGGTGAGCGTCCCGAAATAAACCAGCGTTGCGAGCGCGGGACCCCGAGAGCCAAATATGAGCATGTATATTCATGATTGTAGGCTGTAGCGCTCGAGGCAACGAGAGAAATCCAAGCAACATTGATTGTGGTGCTCGTCAACGCGCGGACGACGTTCGGGAGCAAAGCAGCGGGGCGGTGGCGGTGTCAACACACAGCAAAGCGGGTCGCCGGGGTCCTCCTTTCGTCCTGACCGACCTTGACGCGCTTTCGATGAAGTCATGGCTGCCCACCGCGACGGCGCAGAGCGTTACATATACCGCGGACCATCCAACATGGCTCGCCACAGGAAACATACCCCGCCCTCATCATCCTCGTCGACGTCGGCGACGATAACATAGTCGATATCTGAACGATGGGCAAACAAGAAATCTCAGAGCCGAACCCGCCGCCGGACGCGTCCCACCTCCCGGACGCGCTCCTCAAACTCCGCATCGACCTCGACGATGCGAAGAAGACCGTTCTCACCGACGCCGAGCTCTACGCCCTCCAGAAATTCAGAAGAGCAGCAGACTACATCGCGGCCGGTAAGGCGTCCTCCATTTCTCGACGCCGTATTATTGACTAGTCACTGACGAGGATATTCTTACCAGCCATGATCTTCCTGAAGGACAACACCCTCCTGCGCTCGGACGGCACGCTCTCCTTGTCCGACGTCAAACCGCGCCTGCTCGGCCACTGGGGCACCTGCCCAGGTCTCGTCCTCGTGCACGCCCACCTCAACCGGCTCATCCGCAAGACGGGGCTCGACGCCCTCTACGTCGTCGGCCCAGGTCCGTAATGAAAAACCTCATACTTTCCTATCTATGCGCTAATCGACGCGTCTCCAGGCCACGGCGCGCCCGCGCTCCTCGCCTGCCTCTGGCTCGAAGACTCCCTCGCGCCCTTCTACCCCTCCTACCCACGAACCACGTCCGGCCTGCACTCCCTCGTCTCCCGCTTCTCCTGCCCGGGCGGCTTCCCCTCGCACGTCAACGCCGAAACCCCCGGCGCGATCCACGAAGGCGGCGAGCTCGGGTACGCCCTCTCCGTCGCCTTCGGCGCCGTCATGGACAAGCCCGACCTGCTCGCCGTCTGCGTCGTCGGCGACGGCGAGGCCGAGACCGGGCCGACCGCCGCGGCCTGGCACGCCGCCAAGTACCTCGACCCGAAAGAGTCGGGCGCGGTGCTCCCGATCGTGCACGTGAACGGGTTCAAGATCAGCGAGCGGACGGTGTACGGGACGATGGACGACCGCGAGCTCGTCGCGCTCTTCGTCGGGTACGGATATCAGGTCCGGTTCGTGGAGGACCTGGGCGAGATCGATCGCGATCTGGCGGCGAGCTTGGAGTGGGCGGTGG